ACGCGGAAGAGGTTCACGGCAGTTTCACATGGTCGGGGAACAGATATTTACGAGGAAACGAAGACTCGGCTCTCTTGTTGGCCGGATCCGAAGTAACGATGGTTAACGCTGACAGCGCGAAATAACGAAGGGCGGTGCGACGTTAGAGCGTTATTAGGATTGTTGAAAATTCCAGCGGTGATTGGGGAACATCGGAGTTTGTGTCGCTGGTGCGCGACGGACATTTTGTTTCGAACGAGATTCTCGTGGAAAATCATCTTTGCGCTCGCAATTTACCGTTACCGTCCGCCAACCAAGTTTTCTTTCTCGAAGAACCGACGCATCCACAAGAAAATTTCTCTTCGTGACTGTAACTTTGTAACGGTTTCAATGATGCAGCTGACGCGGTTGAACACCGTGACTTTTTACAGCACCCTGCGAATCGTCTGTCGTGATCAGCTTAGCTGATATTTGCGGTCTCTAACCATTGCGTTCATGTATCGACCAACACTGAGCAAAAAGTTCTAATCAATCTGCTAACTTTCTTCGTGAAATCGTATGCAAAGAAATATGATATGAGATCAATTATTGTAGCTACCAAACTGCGATTCAATATGCATGTTCACAGATTTGAGTCGAGGTTCATAAAAATGACCTGTTCTTATTCTTGTAAAATTGTAGCTGTACAAGTTTCTAATATATTGATATATTGCTAAAAAGTTTATAGATATATCGGATTGCATTTGAACCTTGTGCAGCAATTTCATAAGTTAGAGAACAGCTGCCGAATTCCATTGTAGAACTTAGAAAGAAGCTATGAAACAAAATGCAAAACCTAAAAGTTAACGTTCTCCGTGACCGAGGATCATTTTCTACAGTAGAGTGTAAGTGCACACGTGCTGCTTGAGTCCCTCCGAAACTGGCTTACTCGAAACGGATTAAACTTGCCCGTAATTCGACAGAAAATCGGTTTTTCCCGGTGCATCGAACGCGAACGGAATCTGTTGGTCGGCGGTTTCGAACACGGTTCGTAACGTGTTCCGTTCCGGAGGACTCGGCCTCGCAATGTCCCGTGGCAACACCGCCCGACTGGAATTGAAAGTGGAGGAAACACGGAAATTCCGGAGTCCCGGTAAATCTCTGGAGGAAATCAGTTTGCCGAGCAATGGGGTGAGTCCTGGGTTACCGGTGTTCTAATCGGTTTGTAGGTGTAACTTTCGTGAACCTCCACAAATAGATAAGCCAGTCGGTGAAGGCAGTTGAGCCCGGGGGATGCTTTCATCGGTGAACGGGGTTAAGTTACAGGTAGATCGGATCGAGTCTCTTCCGAACGGGTACAGAATTCTTCGGATGAAAGCAAGTCAATCGGGTCTCGGTTATTGATTCGTTGAACTTGCCGGCGGCTCTACCCGGCGCGGCAGCGGCGTGTCAATTGCCAGGCGGTTTCCAGAATCCTAGTTAGACTTCTCTCCAATCAGTTCCGGAAGTTTCCGGTGCCCCGAAGTAGCACGGCACTACACGCTATGTTTACTTACTATGTTTAATGACGTCGTTTTCGGAAGTGGCACCGATGGTGATACAGTTTCCACCAAAATTCGCCAGTTTACGAGACACAACTCCGACGCATTTATAATTCGGAATTGGCAACGTTTGTGCCCTATGACGACGAATATGCTATTTCCCCCACGGTGACAACGGAGTCCTCGAACCCGCTGAACGAAGAGCACGTTCATTGCGCACGAAATGCAGCAACGACGCACGTGCTCCAACAATCTGTCACAAGAATATTCCGACGAGCCCACGTACCACGCAAGCTTATGTCGGATGATTTCTCTTGCACCTGCTGTAATTCCGGGTGAATCTGCTCGATCAGTCGATCGGGGACATACGTCAAAGTCGACAATGTACGTGACGTTTCGAACGCATTTTAAACAAGACTCGAAAACTCTGCGACGCTTCGGGCACGGAATTACAAACCGATGCCAAACGATCCCCTTGTTTTCCAAAATTCCCTTGTTCTCATCGAACGTATTGTTTGAAGTCCAGAAATCAATGTGGTGGGTCCAGAAATCAATTCGGCAACTTTCTATTTGAAAGTTTGTTCAACACATACAGAGTACTCGGTGACATTTTTATTTCACGAATCAAATTGGATCGCGGTTGATATTCGACTCTGTAGAACGTCTTGTTCTTTTACATTCCAGCGAGAAGTATTATCATTGATAACAAAAATTTGCTTTTGGTGCTTGTGGTGTTCGAAAATAGATAGTTTCTCGAAACAAAGAAATCACTGAATTTTTAACTACAAATTGACAATCCTTGATGTGAAGCAACTTTGAAAAAGATCGTAGGGTAGTTTGCTTGGCCTTACTTTGTAGGGTGAAGCATTCCTGTATTGAATTTGATCGAAGACTCCTTTGTGCTGAAAATGGGCTGAAAAACTGAAGCTGCTTTTTGATCTAAAAAATTTCTCAAATTCGAACCGTTTCTCAGAGATTAGGCAGCTTTTTTCACAATTCGTTGTTAAATCGCTTTGTAACGAGTAGTATTTCTTCCTTGACGACCCTTGAGAACATAATGTACGACCTTTGACGTCTCTTTGTCACGCTATGTGCTGACGATATTAGGATGCATAGTATGTCCAGAGTATCGTAACTACGTATTACGGGTTATCCCGAAAATCCGATAATTACTTAGAATAGATCAGTACGAAATGACACATAATTAACAATAAAGATATACAAGAAGTGCGCATTTTCATATACACGCACATATTTGTATATATAGATACTTTGTTTCTTAGTTTACAAGATTTTATAAAAATTCGGAAGGTATGCTTTCAAAAGTGAGATTGTGGAAAAATGACCAGAAGTTATTAGAAAATGAATCATGAAAAAAATTCTTTCAAACTTTATATAATTATTTAAAACTTAATTGAAGCATGTAAAAATACAGAATTCCTTTTTGTGAACGAGGCCATCCAAACAATCGGCCAATTTTTGCAAACAAATAACGAATGTTATAAATACGATTTTCGTATCTTCAAGAATATTTTTTTAAATTGAAATCCAAAGAAAATGATGCATTGCATCATGATACGTTGCTTACTAATGTTTGATAGTGTGTTTTATCGAGTTCCACAGCATTTTATGAGTATGAAAGTCGCTATTTCGAATTTCCAGAATGTTTGTTAATTTAACAGAATCATCCATGATAATCTACCATGCGTAGATAATCTCGAAGGATTACAGCTAGAAAAGATAATTAGGTGGCCTGTTTTAAATGATACACACTGTGTGTAATTAATATGCTTGTGTAAACTACCCAAAGTAGACTGAATCAATTTATAGTCAGACAATGTGAAACTCCTTTCCATAATAATTCCTTGAGGCATCAATCATTGTTTCTTTCTTCATCGACGTTGTTCGTATCTTTCCGCTAATTAGACTTTTCGGAGACGGAACGTCTTCTGCTGATTTCCCCACAATGTCTCCGATATCGCTCACGTGCTCCTTACATAGGTCTCATCGGCCCCTACATTATTCATCAGCGAAGGTTGAGACCAAAGAATGATGGCGCCTGGAACGGGAAACAGTGAAAGCGACGGTAGGAATCTTCCCCAATTTAAACCGCCATTTTGCGAATTAATTAGACGGAATTCCCTCTCCTGGAGAACGGTTTCTTCCCGTGCGACCGAATTGCCGACGTTTCTCGTTATGAATGAATTTCATTATCTCAGTTTTGTGCCGGAGCCTCCTCCAGCTGTAATTAATCGACGTTATTCCATTATTACGGCGCGTAATTGTTGCTAATAGGACTAGTAATTGGAAGAGGACCTTCCGTCCGGTAGATGTAACGCAAATTGATAACTTAACCGGTGCGAGCACCGGAACAATTCACGGCCCGTATCGACGCGCAGGTAACGCTTCGAATTTTCAATGTTTCCGCTGAGCTCAGGGGCTCGTGTTCGAAAACTGGAGGACTTAGATTAATATTCGAGCGTCCTTGAACAGCTTGCTTTCGAACTGCAAGTTAATGAACGAGAACGCGGACAATAGGTCGAAAGCGAATCGATTCACGAGCCAACTCGACGATTCGCGTCCGGCGACGAGATTATGAATATGGATAACCTTTAATATTCGCGACAAAAAGACGGCGAGCAGAGTTTGCAAGAAAACTTGGCAATGCGCTATCGCTGCTCCTCTTCTATGAAAATGTTCCTGTTTACGCAGACTTTCTCATTATACTGCCGCTACGAGCGAAGGAAAGAATGTGGAAGACCAACGTTCTTTTTGTAATCGAGTATGTAAACGGCGCAGAGTTTTCAACTTATTGCAGACTTTTCGAAGATACCTTCAACGGGGGAATACTGTTGCTCGTTTTTAAATGTAAAGTTCGATGGGAAGCAGTGCGACGGGTGTAGTCAGGCGAATGTAGCAATTCGGTCCGCCAATTTCAAAAGTTCTCGCGAGGAACTAGCGGCAGGGATTCTCGGTAACGCGAACGTTTTGTTGCCTACGCAAACGTTAGTTCTTTCGCGGGAGTATGCAAATTTATCAAGAATTGCAGTTAAGTTTACACTTTGAGGGAGACGAACCCCAAATCAAATAGCTAGTCCGGGTTTTTGCAAATTATATATTTTTCAATAAACAAGACACTCTCTAACTAGCAATCATGATAAAGTTCCAAAAAATTCATTTAATCTCATTTTCATCACAAGTTATTCGTTTATTTATTATGAGAAATAATTATGTACTTTATATTTTACAAAATTCAAAGATACTTTCGATAGAAATGAATGAGTAGATTTCTTCGTACAGGCACCCATTCTAATAAGAATCGCAGAAAGTCGAAATTAATTGAATTTTGATAGTCTTTTAAAGCGACATCGGTCACTTTCAATGCTCAGCATGTTTAGTGTTGATACTCGTTTTAGTGTCTACAGATAGCGAAGATAGCACGAGATGTCACTGGCCAAATAGGGAAAAACAATTTCTTGAACGTTACCGCAATCGACTCACCGTAGTCATCTTCGTAGATGATGGCGACTTTGGTCCAATTGAGAAACTCCATGATGTCCTGATAAGCGGCGTTGAGCAAACTTTGTGCGGGGTAAAGGTTAATGCTGAATTCTTTCGCCTCCGTGTCCAGGTCCAGCCTGGCTTCCAAGTGTGGAATGTCCAGTGCGTCGCAGATACTGTGAATGTGTTGGCCCAAGATTGGGTCTGATGGGCCGAAAACAGCCTGTACGCCGTATTTGACCTGTTGACATGCTGTAAGCAGAATTATGATTTCATTGTCGGATCACAAACACCATTCGACGTGGTTATTTGTTACATGGATACAGTTTCTGGCAAAAATTTCACAATGGGTCACAAAAGAGTAATCGAAACATTTCTACATCGTTTCGATATTGACCAGAAAATCGAAAGATAATCTTTCAAAAGTTACAAGATTAAAAAATTTTGGATTTTAAACGTTTCGTTACAAATTACGATTATTATAAGTGTCCGAAAATGTTTCCGAATAATTTATTTAAGCACGACAACATAATTGATGATTTATTAAATCTGCATGATACAACTTTTGAAAACTTCCAACTACTACGACATTTCCATTACATTTGAACATGTTTTACACGTTTAATAATAAAGTATTTCAGGTGTCGGTACAAACGAGGAATATGTTACAGATTGCAATAACGTTGCTTCCGTATGTAAAGCCGAACATTTTTAATAATCTGTTACGCCGATGTTATGGATGATGTATCTTTAAATACGAAAATTGAACTTTGATTAAAATGAAATACGACGAATGGATGAGGATAGCAGGTAAGTCATAATAAAATTAAGCAGCGGAGGTAGATGAGCTGTGAAATTTTTCCGACTCGCCAGATGGAATCGAAAGTTCGAGTTCACGTCTTAAAGTGATTGATTAAGCTAAGGGAGTCTTTTTAATGTGGCGGCGTGGTTGTTGATTGGACTATGTATGTTGGATAATAAAGATGACGAATCTAACGTCGTCTTACAGAAAATAAAATTCACAGATAAATATAGTTGAACTTACGGATGCTTCATTACTGGACTGCAAATTAATGCATTTATGACAAAAATGGACACATCGTGGGAAACGCAGTTAAAATGTTTAAAGAATTTGAAAACTCGATTTTATTATTTCTATGTCGATGAAATCTACAGCATCTTACAACTGACATAAACAATTTTATTTTGTATAGAAATCTGCAGTCTACTAATTAAAAACGTAAATAGTGATTCTGTAATTTCTGTATCATAAAGTCACTATATCTTGGAAACTAAAGCATAGGGACTTTTTTATGTAAGTGATTGTTTTTTGCAGTGCCTATCTGTATAACATATTTGTATTTCAACAAAATCGAAGAAGACTTTTACAAATAATAACAAACATGCAGACATGTTGGTCTTGAAATAATTTTGAATCCAAAATTTATGGTAATTTGAAGGGAACTTCTTCCGGAATCTTGAAAGTAATAGAAGTCATATTAAATGTTTGATTTCTTTGTTCCCTTCAAATTGTCACAAATTTTCATTGAAAAATACATCAAGGTAAACATACTTACGTATTTGAAATTACACTTTTTATCATCTATAACGACTGGGAAACTATACCAATACTCTAAAAAAATTTCGAGAAAATTAAATGACCTTGAAAATTAAAAAACGAACTACTTTGAAGAAAAAACATGAATCACTACGCTTATCGTGATAAGATAAAGCGACAGATAGCAAAATGGATAAGATGAACGAAACACTCCGTGCAATAGTTTTGGAGCCAGCTGGTACGCTGGTCATTTGAACTCGTTCGATTTATGTAAAGGTAATAGGCGAATCCATGAGTACATCAACTAATATAATTTCATTGGAGAATGTTCGGCAAACCATTACAAAGAGGTATCATTGAGATGGTGACCAGACATTCCACTAAGATTATTTGCGTGTAGAACGACGGTAAAGCGACATTAATGCGACATTAACGCCTGGTTTAAGCTGAACGTATGGACATGGTTGTCGTTTAAGGTCGTAAACTTCCTATATGGCTACTCAAAATTGTTACTCCAATTGGAGAATTACCTATTGATCATCACCGATAACGGCATCGCGGTTCCTCAGATAATGATGAGGATTTATCTGTGATTTACCTGCCGTTGAAACGTAGCAGTAAATTCAGTTGCGAATTCGGAGGAATGCACTTATGTTTCTAATCTTTTGAAAGTTTATAATCGAAGACCGTGAACAATTGCTAAAAGGTAATTAAGCTATTTTGTAAAAATAGTTCTTTTGCATTGAGTCATTCAGTGAACAGATTCGAATTCAAATTTTAGGATTTCTTATCATAAAAGTGTAAAATATTTTACTGTTGCATTTTCATGAATTCTCTCTCTCTCTCTCTCTCTCTCTCTCTCTTACATTGACTTTTTAATAAAATTCACAAATTTTTAGGCAAAGGTAAAGTTGAAATTGAACTTGTTGTAACCGATCAAATGCATTCACGAAGGGAAAGAGGTATCCAAATGGTTGCTATTGATTCCAGCAGTTGTGCTCATCTAAAGCAATGAACGAATTTATTTTCTTATTCAGTGGAGGTCTGGCTATAGCTTGTACAATAATAGTAAAAAGTTGCAATTTCTCGAAAATTTCATAAACATTTTACGACACCTTATTCTAATCTTCACAGAAAATTGGATCAAAATATTGCTTTTTCATGACACTTTTCATGTCTGCGGATTTTATGCATTTATAATAACAATGAATAGGTGCAATACAAAACTAAAAAGACATTGGGAGAATTTAAACATATACTTGCATTATTTTCAGCTTATTACTATTGTTAAAAAAGAAATGATATTTTCATCTAATCTATATTTTTTACATTTAACTTAGACAATTTTTATTTTGCATAAAAATCTGCATTTTAATTATAAGCTTGAAATGAATGTTGAAATATGATGGCAGCCAATACGAGAGTTTCGATACAACAATCACAAAATTTAACTATACGTATAAAATGAAAATACTTTATTTGACGAAATAAAAACTAAAATGTTAAAATATTTTATACACTATCAATCTATTCATATTTTGTAATTCCAAGCCAAACTTGGTACACATATTACAATAAAAATTAATGTTGGAACTCGGGCAAACACTTCCATCCGCTATTTCTAGAAGGTACTGAAAGTGGATTCATTCCCGTTATCATCTTCTGCGCTGACAACGGTAAGCTAAGAGCCAATGGTCCAAGAATAGCGCATTAACGCTGGACTGAGCGTTTAAGTAAGGTATCGGCGGTCGTAAAGGTGTTCGTTACAGCCTTCGTAACACAGTGTAAACGCGGTCGTACACGTAGAATGACCGACTAGTGTCTGCAGGGTTATCTCGGTTGAGTCGTAAGGATTGTTATGGTCGACATGAATGGTATCCAGGTCCTGAATTAGCCGGTTGCGTTGCCTTTCAAACCTCGGACAACCGGTCCTTATGTTGGCAAGTTAATACATTACACGGGACAAGAACTCACGGGTTCGAACGTTCCGCCGGGAACAGCAGTTTCTAGATAGCTGTGCTAGGGCCAAGTGTTTCGGAAGGCGGAGACACATGTTGGATAAAGCGATTACGGTTGGCTGCAGAATTGAATCCCACTCACGTGACCATGAAATTCTCGGAGATCGCACCGCGTGCTTCCCGACCAACGAAATCGAAATAGCTATGCCATAATCGTAAAAGCTACATTTTTATTAGCATTCAACTGCACCCGTTAAAAATTTAAAACTCTCACCGTTCCTCACTTCGCTAACTTGAATGTTCCGATTTTGGGATCTGCATAGTTACTTTTGAGGGATTTCATTGGTCCTTTGTTTTAACCAAATTTTGTCGATGTTTTCTATTATATGATTTACCGAATTAATTTTGTGATAACTATAACGAGGATCGAGAAATGATTACATAAAATCCATAGAGCAAGAAAGATGTTTTTGGAAAAATAGTGAAAGGTGTATTTTGACACTTTTGGTAGAAATGGCGTTAAGGGAAAGAGATATTGTTGATAGGCTTTTTGATTAAGAAGAGAGTAAATTTTAACTAAATGTTCTTTCGGGTCAATGGCCTTTTCATTTTTCACATGGGATGATACTTTTCATTAAGTCCATACAATGAGAGATGGGACAAAAATGTTCTTTTATGAGAAAGTCATTTCGTTTTGTAGTTTATAATAAGTACTGATGTTTTTTTCTTCTAAAAAAACTATATTTTTGTATTGCATAATGTAGAGGAATGTATTGCATGTTACGCTTATTTTTTATAACTTTGTCAGTATTCCTAGAGTAAAATGATCATGCAACTTGAAGGATTAAAAACGCGTTTAAAGATTAAAATCAACTTATTTTATACGAGCACAAAGGAAGGACAGGAATTCTAAAGCCTGCGTGATGAAAATATTCAAATTTCTTTAGATATGGTACTGCTTATATCATAGAAGGAGGTATTTCTATATAGAGTGCTGTGACACCCAGTTTCTTCCATTTTCCTTCGACGAAGCTTGTTCTTTGCTTCCACGCTCCACAAATAAAAATCTACATTTCCTGCATTTACCATTTTCTCTATTCAGAAGCAAGCAATGCATATTTATTATTTCTGATTGCGATCCTCTCGGCGGACAGTCATATTTATTCTCAATCCTCGGTGGGTATTCTCCTTATCGCAACCATTATTTTCTATCCTTCTCTGGTTTTTCATTTATCTTTATCCTGGGTATATGTCTTCATTCTTCTCTCGCTCGTTCGCTCTCTCTCTCTCTCTCTCTCTCTCTCTCTGCCATTTTTCCCTCTCGGTCCGTGATGGGTAGTGAAATCGTTGCCTCAAAGAAGACGCGAGCAGCGCGGATATTAAAAAATAAACGGAATACAGGCAAAGTGGAAATGAAAACGCCGCGAGGCTCTTGACTCGGAAGACCGCTGTCTTGCGTTACCTCCCTCCTATTTCGGCGGTCGATTACTTTAGCAAGTGGTAAAAGAACCGTTCCGATCTGTTGTGTGGCTCGTTTACACCGACTCTCATCGTAAGTTTGCAACCCGGATGAAAATTTCCTCTCTACCAACACACACGGCTGCGATAGTGTCTCAAAAATATAGGAATGCCGGAAACGCAATTTTGATGCCAGTACCGGATAATTAAAAAAGATTGGTCGCTTTCTCTACCGTAAATAAAAGTAATTCTATATTTTATTTTAAATAATTTTATTC